CCGATTTCCAGGTCCACTACGAACCCTGAACTGTGCAACAATGTGAAAATGACGTACATATTACAGACAGATCCTAAGAAACAATCCCACGAATTATTGTCTTGTCTTGTCTATCCATGGCAAAGTGAAGACAACCTTGTCGATCTTAAACATGTGGGCAGTATCAGTTTTCTCTCTTGTACATTTCTTTGCATTCTCTTTTATCACTTCGGGTGATGAGGGAGATGCTGCTTGCTTCTCTGGTTGCAGTTTTATTCGTTTAAGTGAGAATATTGCTTCATCACTATGAGGAGGAACCTCTTGAGGTCATTGTGCTTATGATACATCTGCATCAACAGTTGGCAACACGGGGAACACACAAAGCTTTGTGCGCAGCAGTTAATTCCTGGACTATTTACAGTTTATATGAGTGTAAATGCAAATTATGGTGTAAAATCCACCGCAGACTTATGTCCGACAGCTTCAGGAGTTGGAAAGGAAACCGCGCTGATCAATATGGCCTTCTCCTCCTCCAAAACTGTTCCTCAGGTTTAATATGTTCAAGTGATCGGGCGGTGTTTTGATGAGTACAGGCTTTTTATCATGAATGGATCCAGTCTCACGACACTGATGCACCCATTGGCCGACCATTTTTCTTGAAGGTGCAGTCCCATGTTGTCGATCATCATTAAATGTTTAACGAAACTCTCGCTGCAAAGATATGATTGACTTGCTTACTACAAACTGTTCCATGCAAAATATGCTCTGTCACACGGACCAACATTCCATTATTCACTGAATCTAATTCTATATAAAATCCAACCACCACTTTCAGTGACCCTCCCACCAACACAAGCTACTGCTCATGAAAAATGCTGCACTAAATATTTCAACCATTCATCAAACAATACTCACATTTCTTTTAAATACTCTCGAGCTTTGCGCAGGAATACTTTGGTGACATTTCCAGATGTGTTTTCATCCTGAGCAATGCATACTTTCTTTTGTCGCATGTTCTAGAGGAAATAATGTAAACAGAATGAAATTGTTTGTTTAAACACTTTAAGCTAGCACAATAAAGGCAAGTATTTAACTCTTTCAGTACCTCACAGCTCACTATATATTTACTGGTTAGTTTAACCCTGGTATGGGCTGTGAGGGCCCACTTTGGAGGGACAAATAATACACCTGCTGCCCCCTATCAAACATGTCACAAAAGGTGACTAATTAGGGGTTTTACTTCAAAGTCAGAGTGCATCTGCCGGACAGTTGAGGACACTTGAGGAACAAGGATGTGCATATAAAACCCAAATTCTGGAACAAGACTGCCTGAGTTTACTGCGGGTGAACATGAAGCAGAAGAAAAAGATTGTTTAGTCAAATGGCTGTGTGTGCGTTTTTTCTGACTCTATTTATTCTATTGCAGATGGTTGGTATATTCTTGAAAGTGAGAGCCTCAAGTTTTTGCTGGGACTGACAAGTTTTCCACTAGTATTCACATGGGATAGTGAAGGACATTTTTGTGTGATTGCCGCTGGCACAGGAATGGAGCAGTTATGGGGCAACCCGTCTGCAGTGACATTAGAACCTTGACTAATGACTGACATTCTATCAATACTTTTTTTTTCTTCTTCATGTCTACATGTTATTGTACTTTTTCTTTGCTCAAATATAACCATTTTAAACTATAAATTCTTGGGACAGAATGAGTCATAGTAATCGTAAGCTGGTAGCAAAAAGAGTTGAACAATGTTCTCAAGGAATGGCTTTGTCATTGTTCACTCTTACTATAAGTTGCAGAGGTATCTGAAATACCAATCAATCAAGTGCAATCTCTGTACTAAAGGTCAGTTGTAATGAGTTTCCAGCATCCTCTAGTCTGCATCTTCATGGCCACATTCAAATTAGTTACCTCCGGTCAATCTCCTTACATTGTTCACTCAATTGTAACATTGCTCCCACTTTCCATTTTTTTTTTCATAGTGATATACTTTAAAGAGATACCCTAAATGTGAGGCTGAATTTTATTGAGATGAGATGATATAGAAGACCAACAACAACAACAAAATTAATGGCAATCCATGTAATGACATGTTAGATCACTCCATTATTATCCTTGATAGGATTTCAGGGCCTCAATTTTGGGGGTAGATTGGGGAGGATTGCCATCAAATTATTAAATATATATATATATATATATATATATATATATATATATATATATATATATATATATATATATATATATATATATATATATATATATATATATAAAACAAACTACACTTCCTAGGATTTACTTGGTACCCATTTTTAATCTGATGCAGATTTGAACCCAAGACCTTCAAGCAGGCAGGTGGAGTGTAAAAACAAAATACTTATGCTTATTATCAGATTACAAACATGCTGAGACAGAACTAATTTAAGTTAAATTTCCTGCACAGGTGCCAGACAGGATCCAACACTTCACTCACAAAGATATGCCCCCATTAAAAAGACACACACCCAAAACAAAACAAAAAACATGATTAAAGCTGTTATAACATAATTTTACAGATAGCAAAACAAAAGCGTTTACCTTAGTGCAGGCTTTCTTCAATAGTCCTACTTGTAAATCTTTCAGTTCTTTACTTGCTGTTTAAGACATTATATGTGCAGTCAGCAATATACTCAAATGAATGAATGAATCAATCAATCAATCAATCAATCAATCAATCAATCTAGAATTTATATCACTGCACTCGGGACATCCCCACCGTGCTCCATTTCCTTCCTCAGTAGCCAAAGGGAGTTGAAATGATATAGACTTCAAGAAGACACTAATGGCAGAGTCAGCAACAGATAAGAGTTCCTTGAAGAAAACTTGAGTGTTCAGTCAGCAGTAGTTTAAGATACATTTAAGTTGTGCATCAAAGCAAGAGTAATCAAATGCAATATTAACATTCATACTTAACATTTATGTTACTTATGTGCTTTTAGGCCGTAAAACTGCTTGTAAAAAAACCTTGGCAGTTGGAAATCAAAAAGAGTAGCCTTACAGCGCTGCCTGGGCAAAATTTGGAGATTAAAATCTACCCAAAGTATTCCAGGATCCTCGCTGGTGCTACTGAGTTCATGCATTGCACAGAGATTCTTCGGACTCAGGCTTGAGTTAGAAGCAGAACGGAGCACTTATGGGTTACTACCCTTGTGCCACGAGGTTGATCCGTTGTTCAAACCAAACAAATCTACTTTTTTGTGTATCTCATGTGGCAGAGACTTCCACACCCACATCGGACTTTAGTTACAGCAGATGCTGTTCCCAAAATCAGCGGCACATCTCCATAGTCCCCAGGGACTGACCGATGCCATTACTTATTACCTATGTGCTCACATACATGTGTTACTTAAGTTATTTTAGGATACAGATTAGTGTGATGCAAAAGTTATGGTAAGATATGAACAACTCCACCAAAAGTATTCACCCTGTGGTAAAACAATATTTCAGAGTAAGCAGAGACAACAAATAACATTTCTCCTTTATACAGATATGCCAGCAAAACTCAAGTTCTGGAACAGGTCCAAAAGTAGATGAACTATAACTTTCTGCTGGAGTTTTCAGTTGCTGAACTCTTAGAAGAATAAGAAGGAGGACATGTAATAATAGATGATGGCAGACGTAAAACAGAAATCAGTTTGAAAGCCAACACTATTTTCAACAGCATGAAAAAATTACTGGCATCCAGAGATAAAAAAAACAACCACAATGCAAACTCAGCTCTGATTTATGGTGCAGAGACCTAGGAAATGAACAGGTAAGTAGAAAATCATGTTTGAGTCTCTGAAGATGTATGCAAACAGAATAGGTCATATTTCACAGAAATAAAAAAATATATTTAAAAAAACCAGTTAAATACAGAGGTTCTGAATAGGCCAGGAATAAAAAAGAGTTGTTACAACGAATGAAAGAAAAAACAATTGAAATAGTTTAGCCATATTAAAAGACACATTTCTGGACCCATCAAAGATGCAAAGAGAGGATGAGAAGCAACAATGACATTCATAATCTGTTTAAATCATCATTGATCCCTAGCATTATGAGGTGACCTAAATGGCTGGAGTATTTAGAGAGAATGGCAGTTGAAAGAGTAGCTAAAACTGTGTACGGATAAGTATTTAAATGGGAATTAGGCTCCAAGGTCAACACAGCCTTAAATGTGTACCAGGCAAAAGTCCTGGGAAGTACAAGTGGCCGAAGTGATGTTGGCCACATCACCCATCAAGTACCCTATATGCCTGAAGACATGGAAAAGATTCTTTATTTTACTTAACTAGAAAGACAGGGCCAATAATACAGATGAATGGTGGTGGGTGACATCTGCGGCAGTGAACTTCAAGTGTTCAGAATGCTGAAGAAGAAGAAGATATTAAGACACGAAACTCATAAAAACTCATATTGAAGGGAAAAGCTGAAAGCATGCAAGCAAGAAACAGACAGTTACACAAGTAGTAGAAGAACATCAAGAGACTTATAAAAAGCAGTCTGAGAGAGTGTAGAAGCATGTCAAAAAATGGCAGTTTTAAATCAACTATAACCAATCCTCACTGAGGAGATGGCACCTCACTGAGGAGACGGCACCTCACTGAGGAGATGGCACCTCACTGAGGAGATGGCACCTCACTGAAGAGATGGCACCTCACTGAGGAGACGGCACCTCACTGAGGAGATGGCACCTCACTGAGGAGATGGCACCTCACTGAAGAGATGGCACCTCACTGAAGAGATGACACCTCACTGAGGAGATGGCACCTCACTGAGGAGATGGCACCTCACTGACGAGATGGCACCTCACTGAGGAGATGGCAACTCACTAAGGAGATGGCACCTCACTGAGGAGATGGCACCTCACTGGGGAGATGGCACCTCACTGAGGAGACGGCATCTCACTGAGGAGATGGCACCTCACTGAGGAGATGGCAATTCACTGAGGAGATGGCACCTGACTAGCTGAAAACAAAATATAAGAACAGACAATACAGACCTAACTCCAAGGCACAGGTGAGGTATTCTAGCCTTGATATTCTTACACACAAGCAGATCTGCTTGGCATTGCACAACCGCAGCAATGCTGGAGTTACCAGTCCTTGCTGGAAAGCTTGTAACAAGGTTCCCGATTCATAAGCCTCCCACAATGCCTGGCAAGCTGCCAAAGACGAGCAGCAGATGGTGAAACACACGCTCCCTGCTGTCATATCAGTTATTTCACCATGGCGACAAAGAATCTTAAGTGCATTCACAGTTTCCATGGTTTCCTGGAATAAGACATTTTTAAAAGTTAAAAAAAACAAATATAGCAAAATGGATTCTCACACGATGGGAGAGTTCAGAATCTGAAAGACAACAGATGGTGCCCTGTAGCCAATCTTCATAATGGAGACAGCATGCAAATGATTTAATTAAAAATTAATTCAGTGTGAAAGAGACTTGCTTATAAAACATTACCACTTAAGATTATTTCAGAATAGGAAAAAAAAAAATTAAAAATTTAGTTGACATTCAGAAAATACCTAACTGCCTTAAGAACCTACACTGGTATCCGCAAGAAGATTCTTACGGTGAATAGAAGCGACATGACATCTGCACATACAATTGTGACTGCCATTTCTAGGTCAACTGTGCTGTTTTCAACAAGTTCTCATGTCCTACTGCAAACTAACATCACAATCACTAACCATTAACATTTAGTAGAGTTATTTCCCTTGAGTGCCTATATCTACATAAATATACATGTATGTGTGTGTGTTTTTAAACATATATATATATATATGCACATACAAACACACAAGGGCAGAATATTAGACAAGCCTGCTCGCCCAATTCTCACCCCTCTGAAAATTAAAGTCTGTTTGTTCGCCTATTTGTTATCTCTTGAAATGTCCCAAATATGACTTTAAACATCAAGACGTCATCAAACTACTTACAGCAATGGCCTCATTTGTTTGTTTCAGTTCCTTCTTAAACTGTTCGAAAGAGGATGCTGATGCATCACGACGACGTATGAGAGAAAATGCACCTGAGGATGTTTCAATCCATTTCTAGTCAAAGACGGATTAACCTGTCATAAATTACTATAAATCTTATATTTTAGAAACTGACACACTATAAAGTAGCCAAACTTAAGGTGGTTATTAAATGTACTGAAATATGAACACTAGAATACTCATTCGTGGTGTGGGTTCAAGGGCCAATCTTTCTTTTCCTACTGCCTTTGCCAAGAAGCGCCGAAGAGACTGTTCAGTTGTAGTTTCCTGTTTTTTGCTTGTGTAGCTTGCGTTAGTGTCATATTGCGTTCTGTAGTGTGTCTCTTTTACTTCATCCAACCATCCATTTCTATCCTGGTCTGCCTTTTGCATTGTAGCCTTCTGTTCTCATATAGTACATAATAGTTGTTGGTTGATTTTGTTCCATTTGGACCGGATAACGAAACCTTTTGTTTCTTGAATACTCCATGAAATCATGTACCGGCACTGTGCCTACAAATGTTATTAATTCTTCGTTCATGGCTTTGTATTTTCTTGTTCTTCCCACTATATTTTTTAAAATACATTTTATCTCACATGTTGTAATTATGTGTTTATGTTTTTCTAGGACTGTCCATATGTGACACTTATAGCACAAAGTTTGTATGAAAGCGCATTTATCACTTTTGTATGCATGTTGATATTTTGATGCCACAAAAGTACACCTATTTGGTAATTTATGTTGCTGGCCATCTGTATTCTGTTTTTTATTTCTCTGTATAATCCTCCATGTGAATCCTGGACAATCGGTAGGCAGGCCAAACAATTTTTAGAGGCTTCAGAGATGTGGTTTTACAGAAGAATGCTTAGAATACCTTGGACAGCCAAAAAGAGCAACCAAGAGGTTTTAAAAGAGGCGGGAGACTGAAGACAACTTATCACTGACATCAGAAGGAGACAGTCATCATTTTTCGGCCATGTTATGAGAAGAGGGAAAATAGAACATGTTGTGACCACTGGAAAGATCTGTGGAAGGAGGGATAGAGGAAGACAACGAGAGAAGATGCTTGACAGTCTTGTTGCATGGCATGGAGGTGTGTCGGCACACGAACTGATACATGCTGCAGGAGATCGCGGATTATGGAGAGGCATGATCGCCCACGCCAGTCGGCAAGGCACCTGATGATGATGATGATAATCCTCCATCCTCACTGAATACCCTGTGTAGGTACTTAAACTCCTTAGCATGTTTTAATGTGTTTCCTTCAACCTGATCACATATTGAACTGGTGTTCTTTCTATTCACTGTCATTTCAGTTTTTATTTCCTATTATATTCTTACAACAGGTGTTGAGACTGTTAATCTGGTGTTGGAGGTTATCCTTATCATGGTAGAATAGTACATGATCATTGGCAAATATCAGCTCATTTAAATCCTCCTGCTGGGGGGTTTGCTTCTTTAGCTATCATATCCACATGGATGATCAACAAGAGTGTTGACAGGGTCAAATGTGGTTAGAATAAAGAGCAGACCTGCTTCCCCCTAAATAAGCAACCAGACTGTCTTCGGGCCCAGTCCATCACTATCCTCCTGAGCATACTCATTGAGTCACTGAGAAAACATGCCTGAGTGAAGGTTTAAGCATCCAGGCAGTTTATTGCTTATGTTACTACCATGACCTCTATATTCAGACTACTCATAGCCAAGGCAAAAGGATCAGACTCTTCCTTCATAACTCTCCCTCCAACCTGAGCCATAAAAGCCCATGAGCTTTTCACGAGTTTAACGACAAATACATCAGCATCACCCTCTGAAGAACTGTTAAAAATTAAATATAGTCTTCTAGAAACAACTCATTTAAAGATAATGGAAAATACATGCAACACAGAAAAGCAGCCAAGAGTATACGTTCTAAATCACACATATCTAATCAGTAACCTAGCATTCAGTGAGATTTACCAGCATTAATTGACAGCTTTCCACTGAAAACTTTTTAAATGATGTATTTTATATTATATTAATTAAAACACATCCTCTGCACACTAGACTGGAGTCTGATGGCAATGAAATACACCACCCCTTCCCCTCTTTTCCCACACACACACGCGCAAAAAAAAATTAACAGAAACAATAATTAATCTCAGTGTACTCCCAGCCATATAAATTATATGTTCTTCCTTGTGAATATTATAAAGACCTTGAGATAAAGGCAGGAGTACGGCTCACAGGTCTCAGCTAACTGAAACCACTGGCTTTGATGTAAACACTAATATATCTCTGACTTTAAAGACTGCAGGATCATATAATCAATAAACCAACCGATCATTGACGATATTGTTTGAGTCCTGATGTATCATAAATGTCATTTGATTACAATGAACATTAGACAAGTCCCCCCAGAAACTTTAATACCTAAACAACAGGATCTGGTCAGGATCCTCTTCTTGTAAGTCAATGCAGTATGTGTTGGTTCACATGTCTGCCCTCAGCCTTCTGTCTCATGTACTGTCAGTTCTGAGATATGTTCCTCCATGCCATGTTACCAAACTGTTTATTATCTTTTCCCCTGGTCTTCCCCTTCTTCTTTTCACCTGTAACTTGTCATAATGCACTTGTTTAACCTTGAAGTTGAAAACATTAATATTTTATGTCATTTGAATTCTAAGTAACCAACCAAAAAATGTGTTTTCCCACTATTTTATAACATTTTTGACATAGCATCTGTCTTTGATTAACCCTGGAAAACTTTAACCGACATAGCCATCTTTTACTCTCACCTCATGTAAACATATCAGAAATCCAAGGAACATAAAAAAAATTGTCAACATACCTTTAGCCATAGTGAGAATTTGTTCCTCTACCTCACGACAGGAACAAGTGTGTCTTTTCTTACTGGCTGGCACTACCTGCTCACAGTTCAAGTTGACATCTATCTCACCTGAAAATGTCAACAAATATTACATTTGTAGCCATCTAAAAAGTCTAAACTTTTTAAGGGAGTATACTAATGGCATGGCGTGAATTCTGCATTCTTCGACGTAAGACATAATTTTTTTCCCCTTTTCACTAACTATAGGAATGTCACTGCACTAAGATACAAACGAAGCTTTACTACTGTTCAAAGTGTCATGCTGTAATGACTATGGAATCTGCAGTTAAATTATGCCTAGAATTGACAATTTCCCCACCAAATCCACCAAGAGGCTCAATATTGCTATTACTGTCTGGATTAAACACTTCAGAAATACTCACTGTGGTGATGAAAATTGTGATGGTGCCATTCCATGGTCAGAGAACTTCCATCAGACTTGTACATAACTTCATATTTATTCTTGACCCAGTGGCCTAACCCACTTTAGTGCACTGAATATTGTAGAACTTCTTCTATCTCTGGGATTTACTAAAACGTGTATTACAGAGCAAATTTTACCACAGGGAGCCATAACATTGAAAACAGGTGCCATTCTTCGTACCAATAAATTTGGCTTTCTATGAGGTTGAAACAGATGGTACTGTCTAGAATGACCTTTCTTAGTCTTATTCGTCTTGTGCATAAGGCAAACAAGGTGATCCTTACCTACACAGGACTGCAGGTTACACCTGGCTGATGTAGCCATTACAGGTGCCCTAATTATAACTTCTTTGGAGATTAAATGGGGTATCTGGGATATAGTAAACCTTCAGATAGCACCTCAGAGGGAACAAACAGATCAATCGAAGCATACAATGTGTGGTCTTTGGTGGGCTTCACCACAGCAGAGACTGTCACTCTTAGAGTAAGAAGAAATAAACTTATTTCAATGTCCCTTGTTACCTATTATAACTCTTAAAATTGTCAGACTCAGCTACTTTTTACTGGCTGTGGAGGCCATTTTCAGGAAATGTCAAATGCAGCCTTTTCCCCGTGTGAATTGAGAGGACCCATTTTAGTGAGAGAGAGAGAAAAAAAAAACAGAACAGACCCTCTTTAACAAGCATGTCAAATAAGGCAAATAATTAGAGGTGTTTCCAGAAGTCGAAGTGCATTTTTCTGAGAAGCCAGGGACCAAAAGTCTGCATACAAATAAGCTGAATCTGTCAAAGGGATGTGCATGCGAAATTCAAGTTCTGGAACAAGACCATAGTCCCGAAGTTGACGAACAACCACAACTTACGGCCAGAGTTGATAGCTGGTGAATGCTAAGAAGAGGATGCAATACTGGCGCCTAATAAAATATATATCCTCTTCTCTATTGCGAATACCCCTAATGAAAAAGCTAAATATTCTAAAACATTTTGATTTTGTTAATAACTCACCGGTTCTTCGTTTTCTTTTATTTTTCTGCTGAGAGTCGGGATCTATCCTATTGGCCAGCCATCCTTGCAAAGTTCGCCTGAGAGCTGCCACAAAAACATGAAATGCTCTGTCTGATCTTTTCGTCAGCACATTTAACAGTTCCTGTCAGAGATCAGTAAATACATGTAGGCAAGGGTCGAGGACACTCACAGCACTCCAACAATGAACTGGTCTAAATATGAGCAGTATCTTTTCATATCTCTTTTCTTTTCATATCTATTAAAATTAACAGGATATCTTTTTCAGGTTTGGCATCTGTGAACTCCGGCAGAAATTTCTGGTTGTTCATTCATTTCTGGACTTTACTATTGCTACAGAACTTGTGTTTTGCATGCACATCCATTTGACAGATCTGGCTTATTTGACGGTTCTTCTGGTTCTTTGCTCTCTAGCAGACATATGCTTTAAACAAAAACAAAAAAAGCTTCTAATCAGTCGCATTTTACATCATGATTGTTGGGGGGTGGGGGTCTATTTTTTTTCTCCCCCCAAAAATGGGATCCTAAAACCCACACTGGGAAAATAGGATATAACTTCGTGGAACTTATCACGACCCGGCCCGTATGACAAGAGTTCCTTCCATTCTCATTATTGCTGCAGCTGGTCGCATGGCCTGTCTCATGTTGTGAGGATGTTATGAGATGGCTACGTTCAGCATTCGCTGGCCATGTATAATGCTTGTGGGAGGTTGTGTTGTCGTGAGTCTCTCTGAGGCACCACAGGCCCATGTGTACATGTAAGAAGTACTGCAGGGGAAGCGCCAAAGGCGCAACTGTTCCTGAATATCAAAACTGCAATGTCTTTGTATTTCTACATTAGTTGGCGATGGTTTCTCCCGATAAAAAGAAGCTACTGACAAGGAACGTAGGAATACAAAAACCTCGTAGTATCCACACCCCTCAACTGTCGGGTAAGTAGCACAATGTGGAAATAATCACGCAAGTATGTGGTGACAACACAAGAAAAGAGACAACGGTTAAACAGTTGAAAACAAAGGACAGGCCATGTGACCCGCCACAGCATGAATGGGAAGGGAAGGAACTCTTGTCACGGGGGGCGGGTTCGTGATAAGTACCAGCTTCATTATTGAGAATTTCAGAAATCGAGAATACTGATACCTGCTGGTCCAGAGGCCTATGGTTCCATTTTTTAAATTATTATTTTTTCTTCATAACTGACATTAGTTGCCAGGTTGACCCAGCCTAAAATAGGCACAAGGTAAAGTTCTTAAAGTAGAGGCAGCCAGTGTTAACATCACCCACAAAGTGACATTCCACTCCAAGATGAGTCATTCACCTATGTAGGTAGTAATGTAGATAATGAGGGGGAACTGACAAAGACATTAAAATGGCATGAAAGTTTTCATAGTAATGAGAGGTAAAGAAAAGTAAAACTAGTACCAAACTTAAAATATTTAACTCTAATGTCTAAACAGTACTGCTGTGTGGAAGGCAAACATGGAGAACAACGAAAATTCATTAATAAATATAAACAGTCATTAACTGGTGGCTGTGTATAACAGAGGGAATTAAATTGTATAACAAAGTTATTAATGAGGAGCTTTGGGAGAGAGCTAAATAAATTCCAGTGAATAAAGATGTGAAGAATCAATGCAGGCATCCGATAGAACATGTTAAGAAAACCTGAGAACAATTCCTAGAATGTCTTTGCACTGGAACCCCCAGAGGCACAGAAATAAAAGCAGACCAAAAAACAAAAACACACACAAAGAAGGGAGTTAGTGAAGTTAAAAATATGGGGAGGACATGAGATGAGCTGCATGCAATAGTAAAGGATAAAATAACCTGGCATGAGTTGGTTGACGGTCTATGCTCCATGAGAGGGATACAAGACAGTGGAAGAAGAAGAGTAGAACATTCTTGGTTTATTTGTCACTTATGATTGTCTAGTTTTGTGCTGATTGAGTCTCCACTGTCCCGGGGTGTTGACAGAAAGTGCAATCAGAAAATGAACCCTAGTACTTGAGGACCAAACACGTATTAAGCGTATTTAAAGCCTCTTGGCCATAAAGCTGAAAGATAGGTTATAAAAGACCATTTCAATACACAGACAGAAAACAGAATAATGTAACCGGCGGACCACAGAAATGTAAAAACCACTTGATGATGAGATGATGATGGCAAAGCAGATAAGCCAACATCCCTCAATATCTATTAGAATTAAACAGTTGCAATATTTCATTCAGTAAGTGTGGATAAAACGTTTAACTCAACAGTCAAGGCACATACAATTTAACACTTGTTCAATAGCTCCACTTGAGGCTGAACTGCAACTGCACAAGGCTGAGGTGATCTCTCACCTGTGAGGGGAAGGTAACAGGAAAAATGGAAGACACTGAAAACCCACACCTGGAAGAATGTTGCCAAAAAGAAAGTGTCTATATGAAAAGTGGGTTCCATTAGATGACTCGGGGGGAAGGCAACACGAGGAGCTAGCCAGACAACAACGAGTAGCATCAGTACTGAGACTCTTTGCTGTTGAAGAGGGAGATGGAGCTAACAAACACAGGTTCGTCCTGAATGCTGCGACGTTGAATCTTTACCCAGATAACACCTATCCAATAGGAAAATATACAAATGGTTGACACAGATGGTGAGCTCTTGTGTACATTAACAAAAACATAAAATATTGATTGATTGCAATATTTTAGACATGCGAACAAAAATTCATGAAAGTAACAATACCTCATTTATAGCTTCGGTTGTGTTCTTTTCTTTTATCCTATTAACATCAGTATTTGATAGAATGCGTTTTGATAAAAGGTCATTGAAAATATCATCTGCTGTCATATTTTCAACAAGAATGTCACGATTTGATCTCAATGCTTCCTTATGCTCAGCTGACATTCTATCATCTGAAATGAATAAGATACAAGCACTGAAAGGAAAATGAAAACTAAACAATGTTTACTCATCCTCAAGAACTTCTACTGTTAGTAACAATAAGCTATAATTAATTCATCAGCAGAAAGTCACTAGCATTATAACCGGTGTAAACGATTCTCCATTTTTCTGCAATTTCCCGCAAGCATTTCCACTAATTATCCTTACAATCAGTCAGAAAGATTCTTGATTCTTCTTCTGGCCCTCTAATGCACTTAAGCGTAATTACTGTCAGAAAAATACTAATCCCAACTTTTACCACTTCTAGATTTTATTAATGAAGAAGCTAATCCATGTCGTTTATAATATTTGCAAGAGGCCTTCTATAGTGATTAGCATGAGGATTTTGTTTATATTGTTGCATAACAATTTAATTGTTTGTTTTCATTTCCACTTTCAAGTAGCAAAATTATGTTTCATAAGGCAACTTCTACGTGCATTTTTTGTGTGTGCAAATGTGTACGGTTATACAAAATGTGATTTAACGAAACATTACAAACTAACTAATATTAACGAACCATTAAAATCTAAACTAAAATATCTACAAATGTGCCGTTACTGTTTAACTTGTACAAGAATTATGTTCCAGTTATAAAGAACTTACAGCTTTAAATGAGTGAATGGAATGATGTCAGTAAATCCGTGTGTTGGTTCCGGGGGGCCCCATTTTGGCCCCACTGTTCCTTAATATGCATGTCATGAAAGTCGACAAATTAAGGATTTACTGAAATCGGATGTGTTGGCCAAAAGGTGCACATATCACAGTCTAGTTGTAAATACAACACAATGTAAATATCACAGTCTAGTTGTAAATACAACACAATGTAAATACAATGTCTTTTTAATGGGCAAACTCAGAAGAAGTAGGCGAGTAAAATGAAAATAAACCTTAAGTTATGCAAAATATCAAAGAACATTAAAGTAGCACAATAAATGACCCAAAAGACAGACTTTTTAAAAATGGTTTACAATAGCAAAAGTAATGTGTATTTTTAAAATGGTTTTCAACAGAAGAATTAATGTTGCATACAGACTCTTGACAAATGGTTTACAATATCATAATGTGTATCTTCTTCTTTTGTCAAAATCTGCTTGTGCCGCTAGGCGTCGCAGTCTATCAGATGATCGGCAACCGAGCCAGGGCGCGCTGAGTCGCTTCATATGTCGTGATGTTATGAAGTCTCAAGTTGTCCGTGACTCCTTCAATCCATCTTCTTCTTGGTCTTCCCCTGCCTCTTGGTGTTTCGATTTTCATGTTGTATGCTCTTGATGCTGGCATCGTTGGTTCCATTCTCATTAGGTGACCAAACCATTTCATTCTTTGCTTCTCAATAAATTTAACGATGGGTATGGTTCCAATAGTTCTTGTAATCACATCGTTTCTCACTCGATCTATTCTGGTTTTATTCGCAGCCATTCTCAAACATCTCATTTCACAGGTGGTTAGTCTTCTCTCATGTTCTTTTGTTAATGTCCAAGTCTGACATTGATAACCTAATGTCGGTATAAAGATTGTATTTATAATTTGTCTTTTTATCTCAGCTGGGACCGCAGGGTGTTTTAAAATTGGTGCAAGCTGGTATGCGACATTGTTGGCTTGTTGGATTCTTGCTTCGATCTCTCTGTCTATTTTACCATTGGATGTAAAAATACTTCCCAGGTATTTAAATTCTTGCACTTGTTTTAGGCTGTGATCTAGAATCTTTATGTCGATGGTCTGTTGCTCTCTGCTTATGCTCATGACTTCTGTCTTATAATGTGTATGACTTCTCAAAAAAAAAGTCATACATAATGTGTATGACTTCTCAAAAAAAAGGTTTACAATAGCTTAAGTAATACTGTGTATAGAAAGACTTCTTTAAAAAATGTTTACAATGTCTTGGTCTTAGTCGAGGTTTCAACTTCACTGCAAGGATTTATGAGAAGTCTTGTCAATCAGCATAGGACTGGCTTTATTAACCGTGAGATGCTAATGTTTGTGTTGAAAAGGAGAATAACAGCACCTACAGAGATGTCCGAAGTGGCAGAGATCACCCACCTCAAAAGTCACCTAGGCTAACAAAGTGCTTGATAAAATTTCAGAATGGACTGGCAATAATACTGATATATCACACATGGTGCATAAGATGAGAACAGGTTTTGGCTACTGCACTCACAATGCCATCTTATGATACACAAAATTAGGTTTTAGGACAAGAAGAAAAAGAAGCAAATTCCTACCTACTGGTAACTGTTCAAAAGTGAAACTATACTGTGGGAAAAACTTACGACACATCTCAGGTTACATTACCATCTGCATCATCTGAAGATCTTTGAGAATTATCCCTGGAGTCATCCAAAGCTCCTTCCTTTGAAACATTGAGAGAACTTTGCTGCAAAGATCTTAGTTGAGCCAGGGAAGCATTTAGACTGTCAGAAATATCCTCTTGGTTCCTTTCACCCTCTCTGCTGCCACTGCTGTCTGGATCCAATATATATTTGTACAGATATAGTGCTCATATCTACAGAAAAAGTGTGATATGGGGTAAACATTTTTTTATCTGGCACTTAAATAAAACTGCGCACTGCAGCTGAATGGAGGACTCAATTGTGTGTTCAAAAATTAGTATACATTATATAGCAACACTCCATATATCAATGAAAGGAATGAAGCTTAATTGTAAATTCCAACAGAGATGACATGGGAATGTACTATAGCATGTATGAGAAACTATGTCTTAATAGAGAGACAGCATCATGTACCTGATGTCCTAGCGGAGTAACAAGGATTAAACAAATGTAAGCAGACTGGCCATTGTGCTACTGGGGGCCTTAGAAAAGGGAAACAATAGCAAATACTGACTCCTAGCAGACATGATGTAAAAAGGCAAACAAGGGAAGAGCTGAGCATTGGGTTGGCTGTCTCATCCCCCCAAAAAACTGTAGACACAAAAGCCAACCAAATGCGAACAAGCTGAGTCAAAATAGGAAGGGGTTGAGCTGAACGTGTTGCAAAGGAAGGGAGGACTTGGCTGACAGCCTATGCTCCGCTGAGGATAAAGAGCAGAAGTAAAATAGGCAGACTGAGGATCTTTTACTTCAGGCCTGCAAGATGTTTAGATTTTAAAAAAGAGGCACAATTCACACACAAACATTTTCGAAACATAATGTCTACAATGAAATTAAAGTTTAAAACATGACTTGAATACTAAAAATTTAAACGATACTTGGGAAGGGATAGAAGACAAATTTAAAACACGGATAGATAGTTACTGGACTGCAACAAATGTAATCACATAAAACATTAAAATTGGGCAAAAAATGATTTAATTCTGAGCACAGTGTGCTAAATATCTATATGAATTTTAACCACTGTCTTTTAAGATACACGTATTTATAAAATCATTTGTTTTTTAAAAGAAATAGGGAATATTAATATGAAACCTGTTCATACAGCACCAAGCATAACTGCGTGAGTTGAACAGGATCATATCATAGTCATGTGGCAAGTACGGACTAATAAATAAAAAAGCATGTTCATTTTGTCCTATGATACACAGATTCTATTTCTGGCAGGTGAAAAAAAAAAGTCAGGTTGATCCTAAATCTGTCCAAAGAAGCAGACAGAGAGGTGATTTGGTTTCTTTTATGCAAAGGATTCTGACAAGTGGACATTCATGGAAGAATGCAGGCATCATACAGTAACACAGGTGTTTTGGAGAAGGCTCGTCCATATGTTGCAAAGACTGTTGTGCAGGAACTAGTAGAATGGAAGAAGCTAGAAATTCTGCAACATCTAGTTTGTAGACCTGATTTGTCACCATGTGATTTTTTTTTATCACTTTAAAAAAGCTCTCACACAGATGACACAATGAATGTGGAAAACACCTGGTTCAGTGAGCAGCAACAATTTTTTTTGCAGACGGCATTTGCTGTCTAGTTAAGCAATGGGATGCTTGCCTAAAAAACTACAGCTACTTTTTATAACCAACCCGTGGTGCATAATTCATTCAACAAAAAAATTATCTCTGTTGATATTTCTATGATGCTTCTGTAATAAAGCCATTGGAACAGGTTTCAAATCCTTACAGCTTTTAGTTAACTCTTTCATTAACTATAGAGTAAAATTAGTAGGTTCCAGATCATGTTCTTTGTGTCAAATTTTTTTTTTATTCATGTTTTTAAAATTAATTGATTATTTCCTATCATAAATAGTTCAACAACCAGTGACCATAAATTATCTAACACTTGAAAATGTAGAACAGTTCACACATCTTGGCAGTGGTGTCCCTACTGCGAGGGACAGAGAAAGTCATACAGTCACGCCTGAACAAAGCTAGAGCTGCTTCTGGAAGGATGAGGCAAATCAGGAAATCAAACAGTTACTGCAGAGGAACGAAACTTCGACTCTACAAGAGCATCATTTTGCAAGTTCTTCTTTATGGAGCAGAATGCTGGAGAATGACCAAAAAGAGTGCTTTCCACTTTCTACCACACATGTCTACGGCAAATTATTAAAATTTTCTGGCTAGATACAATCTCAAACACGAAACTACTTCGTCACAAACCAAGATACTCTAGATAGTATAATAGCAAAGAGAAGATGGAAATCGCTTGGCAACAGCAAGAGAATGAATCCTGATACATCTGCCAAAACAGCCCTTGGTTCTTCGCAATTATTCACCTCAATGACGTCATGGGAGAGAAATAATTTCAAGGGTGGTAAGATAGAGCATTTCCAGTGTGTTTCCAGCTGTCTTCCTGCGATGCCAAGGTTCTGGAGTGCTGCCAAGGCTTTTGCGAGCGTTGCAAGGCTGTAGCGCTTCTTGTTTCCAACGGTTCTTTTCTCCAGCGACTTGTGTTTGTCTCTAGCAACTTGTGTTTGCAGCATCTTGTTCCAGTCTTCGCCATGAATTTCCTCGAATTAGCAGCATCTGTGCGATTACACATAGTTTCACACACACACAACTATACTGCAAATCAGCATCCATATTTATATATATATATCCAGCAAAAAAATAAAAATAAATGTGTTTGCCAGCTGCCGGCGCTTTTAACTACCCCAAAACATCTACAACTGGCCCTAACCCAAACCCCAGTCTAGGTCCCCCCTCCCCCAATCTAATCCATATATCTACCGCTTCAATCATACTTAATTGTTTTACCCATGTTATTACTCTTTTTTTTTTTTAAACCAATTAATACGTGCTCCGTTGCCAAAAGTGTGCTAAGAGCTGAAATTTAAAATTTTTAAAAAAAGGTCACACAATACTTTTTGGCCCTCGATTGTAAGGCAGATGTTATACCAACTACACTAGACATTCACACGAAAATTAGAACTGAAAACATGACCACTATTGTACACCCGCCGATTGCGCCCCAACACAAAGAAAACTGTATGGCATGCCATGATACCATACCCTGAAATAGTCGACTGTCCCGTCATCCGCTGATTTCCGTGTTTGAGGTGAATAACTGCGAAAGAACCCAGCTCTTATTTAGCCTTAAAAAAACATGGAGAGGAACGATGGAAAGTGACTTGAGTGAAGCATCTCAGACACAGAAAACTGCACTGAGGATTGTAAGGACAGGAAGACATGGAAAGTCCTCTATGAAGCCTCATGTGCCACTAGGCATAAAGGGAACATTGATCACAAATAGTTAGTGTAGATATAACAAAATGTTCAATCTAAAAGTACTGCCAAAAGAAAAGGTTTTAAAACCACCGCAATGAAATAGTGTAAAGAAACCTTAAAGAAAATGACCTATGCAGAAATGTGTTATAAGTAACACTCAAATGTATTTACAAAATGCAAAGTACTACTTACTACTAGGTCGCTGAGTCGATAAACTATCTTTCAATAAATTTGACCGCTGCTCCTGTTGCTGTCTCTCCCTTCTCTCAATTTTTTCCTTAAAAAGAATAAAATTCAGTGTGACAAGCGCTGATAAAAACACATGTTTTATATAGATGTGGGAATGTAATTCCACAGAAATGTAGGATAATGTTATGTCTTCTTTTTATCTTTCACATACTTCTTTCTTTACACCCTCCGCTATAGAATTGAAAAGATTTTTTTTTAATGCTCAACTGTAGATAATATCTATCTAAAATCCTGTAACAGTATATGCCCTTGGTTCACAGAATTACATTCTATGTGTGGTGATCAAACGCGCTGAACATGATGTTTTTATACTTGTGGCCTGTCCAGTCAGACAAATTTAGCAGTCACACCTTTCTTGACTTCCTCCTCTACTTACGTTTTCAAAATGGTGAATAGCAGCAGTGTTATTTTTTAAGGGTTGTGATTTTCTTGGACTGTTTTGTTCGATTATCATGGACTGCTATTTTGTGCGCATTTCCAGTGCAGGATACTTTGTTTTTTTTTTGTGTGGAAGCAGTGTGTACTGTGGTAGTACTATGCCGGGGTGGGATACTGAAAAATAGATTTGGCAGCTAAGCTACGCTGCAATCACAATGTTTTGATTGCAAAGGCCCACTATCCCGGAAGACAGAATCTCATCAGCAGGGGACTGCAAACTCGATAAAAGCTGTCCCCAGAAACAGAATATGTCAACCATAGTATTTTTTTTTCTTTTTGGGGGGCAGGGAGGGGGGATCGACACATACAGTTAATTCAATAGTTATCTTCCCTGTGTGGGTTCCGGAGCTCCACTGTGGGAAAAACAAGAATTGACCCACTGCCTACCCAAAAGCATGTCGCAAGAGTCGACTAATTGGGAGCTTCCTTTAAAGTCGGAGTGCATCTGCCTGAGAGGCAAGGAATCAACAGTCTGCACTCAAGTGAATCAGATCTGTAAAACTGATGCACATGCAACACTCAGGTTCTGAAGCAGGACTGCATGCAGTCCAGAGTCAACGAACAATGCCATAAATACTTCTTTGCAACACATAATGATCACAGGCATAAATATTTACAGGGCATGTTGACTATGTCTCAGTATTATATAATTAAATATTAAATACAGAAAAAAAAACACAATCTATACACAAGGCAGTTAAGTCAACAGGATGTGCTAACTGAATAGAACAGACGTTTTGTAAATAATTATCACTGGTAGACACCCAGAGGAAACGCAAGATGAACATACAGTCAGACTATAACTAGTACAATTAGTACTGAGAATCAAGCTGGCTGCTGAAGATTGGGACAGAGCCTTTACAACATATTGTAAAAGGCAAACAATCAGGACTTTGCTAAAATCAGATGTGTTAGATAAAAGGTGCAGATATTGCAGCCTAGCTTTAAATCATAACAAAACATGCCAACTAGCATGCTGAGGGTGAACCCAGAAGAAGAAATTCTTGAAAATCCCAGAAAAGAACTCAATACAGACATACTAGCTGCATTATAATACTTACAAAAATCACATTCTGAAATATTAGTTACCTTTTGTTCCAGCAGTTTTCTTATCTGCTCCACAATGTCATTTCCTGAGGCATAACTTTCCTGATCAGCCATTTTCACAGTCAGTTGTTGGACAGAGGTGTAAATGGTTCATGTTTCTACTGGTGTTATATAGTTCACTGAATCCACAGGCATCACACGGTTTACATAGAACTGTTCAGTAGAAGTAAAGTATTTTATTTTCATAACATTTACTGAAACTGAAAAGCTGGTAAAATATTTTGGTTATGTTACATGCTCATGCTGTAACCTGTCTTTATACTTCAGACAATTTAGACTATAATTACTGTATAATTTTGGGCCTGAACGTCAGGGATTCAAATCCGCATGTAGTCCCGGGAAGTAAAGACAGCCAGCATGCTGACCACATTACCCAACCTGTCCATACAAATATGAGGATAGCACTATCTGCCAGATCGCCAATACCGTGAAAAAGGTCCTTCACTTATACCTTGCACAAATGCGTTCACCAGTAACTCAAAAGTGTTCTTTACCCTTATGAGGGCTATTCCAAAATCAAACCTCCAAAGAGTTGGTAAAAATAAACTGTTCGCCACAGCAACACTGTTCATTGCTTGCATTATTCAGTAGCCTTTTAACTCACTACACATTAACCTATTTCACATTTGTTAAGTGGTTCCTAAACCTGTTGTCCCCTTCTCCTTTCTCAGTAGCCAACAAAGAGTGCCTGCGCCAATTACAAGGATTAAAAAGTCTGCCTATGTATTCCCCTCAGTGCTGAATATAATCCAGAACCCTTGACGAATTAATTTTTCAAGGTATGGATACTCTGTTCTTTTGCACTGTCCATTTGAACCCAAAGAGCTTTTACCATGTCCATCACCTTATCACAATGTAGCTCACTACTCAGGGGAGCAGCAGCAGATAATCTGTCAGCCTGTTTATTAAACTGTTCATCAGTCTCCAAGATAAACCATCCATGATATGCGCCCGTGAAAACAAGCGACAAAAGCCTATAAATATGTAGGACAGTTTTGTTACTGAAGCATGCTCCGTGAGCCAGTCACAATTACAGCTTGTCAGGCTGTGCTTTTCTCAAGCTATCAAAAAGCTGCTGTTCTTGCCTCCACCTCCATTCTCACACTGGATATCGTGATGACAGACTGTTTTTAAACCCTTCACCTTTGCAATAAAACCCAACTCACTGTCTTTTTACCCTCACTAAATTAATCTGTGGGAACATGGCACATTTTCAGGCCCAGAAGGAGAGTGACTTGGGGGGGTATCAAGCTTAGGGACCAGCTAACAACACGCACCATTTTACTAGTTATTGTCACCGGCCGGCGATATTGCGTGTTCTATAATACAGGATGTGAGCGCTTTTAAAGGTCCCAAAACATGCAGAACTGGCCCTTACCTCAACCCACCTACGTCCTATATATATATATATATATATATATATAAGAAGAGGAATAAATGTACATTTTGTATATGTTTTTTGTTTAATACTGTTAAAGTTAGTAAGAAAAAAAATTGAGCGGTTTTATGTTTACAAAGACACAATTTTACGCATAAAAATCTTCATTTACCATGGTTTTGGAGCTATAAGAGCAGTGAATATCGAAGTCTGAGAATAACACTTTCAAGTTTGTTTAGTTTCTTAACGAATTCAAGAGTTATGATATGTTTTTGGGTTAGTTTATCACTCAAAGGCTCTAGGTTCTCACGAACTGCTGAACAAAATTGCAAAGAGAAAATGCCAGAAAATTTGGATCTATATACAAGAAATGTTAACTTTGTACAGTCATATACAGACTAGCCGCAATAATTTCAAAGCAGCTTAGCCATAGTATGGTACTCTCTGAAACAGTCCTTTGGATGCAGATGAGGGTGACTATCACTTTCTTTGCAAATGGTTTTACCTCATCACAATGAACAGCTAACAGCCAGCTGCTGCAAATTCACTGTCTGAATCTCTTTAAAAAAAAAAAACATCTTAACTTTCATTTTCACTTTCAGAATTGAAAACATCTGACCAAAGCAAGTTCAGATTTTCAGCCACAAAAAGGTGCATAATGTGGCTGTAATTATGGTTGGAACATTGGTATCCTTGACCAGTCGGACAAAAAATCAAAAAATGCACTGTCTGAAAATGATGCTAGCAAATAATTGGATTAATATGTGATAAATGTGCAAACAAAGATTTGTATACAAAGAAAAATATTAGAATAAACCTGTCCTGGATATTTTAATGGTAGTTCCGAACAGTAGAAACAAATATGGAGCCTGTATGCAAATCAATATGTAAGGGACACATGATCGATGCAGTGTGGTTTAGGCAAATCCAAACTTATCAATCAACACACACGGCCTTGCTCGGGCCTCAAAGAGGTCATATTTATTCTTCAATATTTGTTTAAATCATCTAAGAGTAAACAATGACACCCTCACTCCAGTTTACCACCCCTCCCTAAGCATTGAAGTGCTATGAAACAAACAGATCTCAACATAATGGTACGAAAAGAATGAGTAGTAAGGAGTGACCAATGGATCTACTAAAATGCAACACAGGAAAAAAAAGGGAGGGGGGACAACAGGGCAGGCTGCTACTGATACCACAGGAACTGGAACTAACTCTCTCTGGTTACTGAATATGGACATGGAAAATTATAACCCCAGTGCTGTGGTGTGGGTGTTGTTCTTAACTCAACTGTTTGTCCATTTTTGTCCTAAACCCAAACAACAAATTTACAATAGTAAGTTCAGTGAGAAATAACAGTGGGCAGTATCATCTCTCTTAAACAAGAAATAACTGCAGACATCTCTCTCATCTTGTAGTATAGTTGATAATTATATTATATACCAGCAAGAAAACAAATGCTGACATTCCAAAAGATCTCAACATCAAGGCAGATTGGCTAATTACATTAGTAATTTATAAAAAGCATCTTGTCTCGGGAACTGAAATTTTGGCCATATCAAGCGCCACCGTGGATCAGGGAAAAAATATTTGGCTCTCCTTTGAATAACGGTCCCAAATGATCTATGCAGAAAGTAAACCCAAACAGAGCCTCACTCATATCTAAAATTTGCATTTCTTTTGCGGCGATTCAACCGTGTCAAAAGTAGGACTAATTGCGCATGACATTTTCGCGAAAAGTAACGGATTTTTTTACGGCGATTACACGGCGGCAAAACTAGGATTAACTACGGACTAAAAAAATTAGCGACACGCAAGAATACTCCCGATAGCGCCATCCTACAGCAGGGCCCGAGTTATATGTAAGTTGCGGACTGCTTTTCGCCGACTATAGTGCCACCTACGAAAGAATCCTCCGCGCCGCTACGCGCGGCGCTAAACTAGATGGCTAGGACTCACGAGCAGCAGCTACCGCAGCTTCCTCCAATGTATTTACTCGTGAGTCCTAGCCATCTAGTTTAGCCCCTTCCGCGCCGCGTGTAGCGGCGTGGGGGATATTCTCGGAGGTGGCACTATAGTCGCAAGAAAACAGTCATGAGCTACTTCTTCCGTCGCAACTGCCAGCGTTGTCGCATTCACCATGGTCAAGAGGTGGTCGGGATAGTGGAGCGCCATAGTGGCGGCTGCTGGTTTGAAGTTGTCCCGAGGCGACTGCTGGTTTGAAGTTGTCCATACGCGATATGCGCGTACATTAAAACGTGCATTATTGATTATGTCTCGCCCGGAACGAGAATCGCGGACAAGCCACGCCCTGTTGAAATGGTGAACAGCACGAAAAACAGATATTCGGGCACTATACTATTTGCAACTTCTGTGGCACAGTTTTCACATATAAAGGATTTAACTGTGGGTAAGTAGTAGACTTCGCCCTTTTCGTTCCTTATATTCTCCCAGCTACAACTTTTAAATGTTTGTAGGGCAGGACGTAATGAGGCTATGTTAGGATTAACTTTCTGCGTAGATCATTTTGGACCATTCTTCAAAGGAGAGCCAAATATTTTATTAGTAGGCATGGTAACAGGAAGGTCGGGTAGGGGCCAACTAACACGAAGATGAGCACAGGATATAAATGGTTCCTTGGATATGAAAGTTTACGAAGCGGGAGAGATGGTGAGAGACCGAGTTTCTTTCAGGCAAACCGTAATCACGGTGACGAGATTGCATTGACATTGATCATTGTTGACGTTCTGCAAAGGACCTGCTTCATGATGATGATGATACCAGTATATTCCCTGTTCACAAACATATACGGAGGTAAACCATACTCAGTTTAAAATACAAGTAAATATGTACCCACGTTAATACTGTTGATCTGACACTGTATTTGTTACAAAATAAAGTCATGCGATACATTCCCCCCGACATTGTGTGTTTTCGCCGGAATCCATAAAGCCCGCGTCTACCCAGATTTTTTGTAGACGACGGTTTAGAATAGCTGCCTAACTTGTACTGTTCCCGTGAACGCAGTCTTTCAGCTTGAGAAAGTTTTTACTTATTTTATAATTTGGTTTAAATACTATATTTTTTATATTATAACTGGCGACAAAAACTTCTAAGAGAACACTAATGATACATGCATAAAATTAGTTTCAGTGTGCCCAGACAATGCATCATAAATAATGGGGGTAGGGAATGACACAATTGCTCGTTCTTCTGTATACGAAGGTGTGTTTGTGTATGCGAAGCAGGATTGCCAGATAAAAAAAAAACTTCATTTTATGCCAAACCATTGCCCAAAAAATGCCAGAAAATGCCAGATAAAGTGTAACATTGTACACTCTTGCTATCGAAAGCTCTAGATTGAATTCTTCACTGTCATCCTCACTGGAACAATTGGAAGACACACCTTTTCGGATGGAAAATCTTTAAGCATTTTCTCAGACGAAATCTTTGGAACTCATCTATAATGATGGCATATTTCTTGTTCCGAAAATCACCAATAAGGTCACTCTGCATTATTACTAAGGGAAATTACCTGCTAAACTGTTAATACTTTAGTCTATGGAGTTGTCATCCTCCTTTTCAATTTAAATATCAGATGCGTTTTAGTAATCAGTCGAACGCAAATATAAGTAACAGGTTAGGGGTTTGTTGAAACAAAAAATTCAAAACA